GCTGCAAACGTGCCGGGAGAGGCTGCTCCCGCCTGCCGTGTTCCGCCCGTTTTTGACGCTCTGCAAGTTTAAAGCTTGAAGGTTGAGCTCCTGACTGGAGGCCAGCTGGCTGCCGGGAGCAGATGAGCTCACAGGCGTCTTGCTGCCGTTGTGCAGCACTTGGGCTCCTGCAGCAAACCCGGATTTCTGGTCCGCCCCAGCATTGCTGCTGGGACCCTTCACAGTTTTGGGCATGCTCAGCCCGAGCTCCCCAGATCCTTTCTGGTTCCTCATCTTTAAGTCCAAGCCGAGGCCGCTCTTACTTGCTGCCTGCGACTTGAGCGCCAGCCTGCCCAGAGGCGACGTCTCTGCCGCGCTCTGGTTCTGGGACATCCTGTTCATGTAGTGCACGATGGAGCTCTGCCAGCTGATGGCCCTGCTGGGGCTGCCCGAGCCGCTCTTCATCATGCCGGGCAGGTTTTCGGCAGACGACGCAGAGCTGAGCCCAGCTAGAGAGCCTGGTGGCTCCTTGAGCGCGGCCAGGCCCGAGCCCTGTGTGCCGTGCTGGCCTGGCAGCTTCCCCACCGGTTTGCTGCTGCCTCCTGCCTCCTTGCGCGACGTCTTGAGCACCTTGGTGAGGTTCACGGTCCGTCGAGCTGCTTTCTGCTCTGGGGGAAGAGGTTTCCGTCCACGCTTCTTTCTGGAAGTGTCTTTCATGTCTGGCTTTGCCACCAGGATTTGGGCTTTCTTCTGAGGCACTGGGTGAGTCTCTCTGCCCCGAGGACCTCTCTTGGCTTCCAAGTCACTTTCATCCTCTTCTTCAGAGGAGGAAGAGGAGGAGGATGTTGAGGAAGAGGAGCTACTTGACTTAGCTTTTGGAGGCATCTCTGGTTCCTGTGAAGCAATAAGGAGGAGACAGAGAAAATGTTAACAGAAATTATCAAAGAACAGCCATGGGCATCGCCAATCTTGCAGCTTTGCTGGGCCAGGTGTCTCAGACAAATGCAGGGGCTATTTCAAGGCATCATGATCTGCCAGTCATAGAGGATACACAACCTCAGCCTTAACCCAACGCAAGGAGTGTGCACTATGGACAGAAGGAGCTTGACCACCATGGTGCCTTCTACTCCATCACTAGATCAACAGAGAGAAGTCCTCCTCACCAGCCGCCTCCTCTGCCTACCTATCACCTATCCTCAAATCCGCTGACCCTCTAACCCGAGCTCTCCGAAGGTTCAGCATCCCGATGCCTTTAAGGGTAAGAACCTCTCCCAGGTGCCGCTGCAGACTCCCACCATCCCTGGACTTACCACGTTTTTCCTGGGCCTGCCCCTGGGTCGCTTGCCCCTTTTCCGGTTCTGCACCTCCTTTTCGTGTTCCCTGGAAAAACACCGATTAAGGACAATGCTTGCAGTGGAAAACCAACAATGCTGACAAAACAACCCCCCAGACAGCCTGATTCCTCCCTATTTTCTGTCCTCAAGAACAGAACTTGCTGGGGGGGCTGCAGGCTGAGCTCCCACCTGCACGTGTTGGTGTCCCATAACATCTACCAGCCTGTGACAATCCTGCAGGCTTCAAGCACGTTGCTTCCTTGAGCCCACGCTGTTGGCCACGGGCACCCCACATCTAAGTGTGGTAGAACGGCAACCGAGCTTCGAGGACTCGGTCGAAACGAGGGGACTTCCACTGTTCAATCCCTCCCCACGTGCTGCAGGGACCGTCTACCCTGCACTAACAGCTGCAGGTCACTGTTGTATGACCCTCCGAACAGGCAGCATGAGGTTTTATAGACCAAGGAACCACCCAAGGAACCGAGCTGGCTGACGGAGAGACCTCCTGGCAGGAGAACAGAGCTCCTGGGAAAGCCTGGGGGCCGTGTTCCTCTCCCACAGCCATTTCCAGCCTTTCAGGGCCACATATCACTGCTAATACTTCAAGTTTCTCAGACTGCACCTTAGCAGGAGGCTTTGGAATGAAAATACCAGGAGGATCTGCAAGGTATTGCTGCAGACAGGAAGGCTTGGAAAGGCCCTGAATGTGGTTCAAGATAAGAAAACGAACTAAAATCTGAAGGCAGGAATATAAATATTGTGGCCTTCAAACAAAGATACGAAGATCCTCAGCATTTGCCCTGGTACGCTGTGGGAGAGAGGAATGAGAACATCTCTTGCATAAAACATGGGATTGACCGGTGCGGGTGATTGCTAGCAGAGGCAAAAATCATTCGCCAAGCCAGACCCTGCAGTGGCCATCCCAGCCTGGGCCTTTGTTTTACTGGCTGCCAGTCCCCGGCCTTTGGAAGAGAAGCATCGATTTTTATAATGCTGCCACTGAGAGGAACTTCCCGACCTGCTCCCTCGCAGCCTCCGCTCGGCAAGGGCCGGGGAAACGGTGCCAGCCTGGCTGCCACGGCAGGGCCGCTCGCTTGCACCCTCGTTTGTTAAACAGAGTCCCACAGTGAGGAGTTGCCCGTGGGCAGATTGCACTGGGCAGGGCATTGCCTGCCTCCGGCTTTCCCAGTTCCCAGTGAAAACAGCAAAGCTCCTGGGATGACGGAAAAACAGAAGCATCTGAGTTGTTCTCGGTAAGCTGTTTGTTCTCTGTACATGGAGCTATGCTTCTCCTTCTGCTCAGAGGAAGGAGTCTTCCAGCCTCTGTGCAGAGGAAAAGCTCTCCGTAAACTCAACAAGTTTGCTCTTTCCCCTGGGTTCATTTCACCTCTTCTGCATCTCCTGTTTTGGATGTGGCAGCTTAGGCTGACAGCCATGCAGAGCCCAAGGTGATCATACAGAAAATGTTTTCAGGTCACTATACTATTTCATATTTCTCTATTAAAAAAAAAAAAAAAGGAAAGTGTTAAGCTATCATGCATATGGCTAATTAAACATTGTGCTTTTTGCAATAACCACCAGATTCCAATCTTGAAAAAATGGATACAGAAATGAGTTATAATTAAATCCTATCATAAACTTTAATGATTTTATTAATCTGGAGCCAAAATACTTGGCAGAGCTGTGCCTAATGTAGCCAGCTGGCTACTTTTTTTTCTTTTTTTCTTTCTTTTTTTAATCTCCATGCATGATTCCTCGCCTGTAATAGCTGTGGAACAATTGCAGTTCTCACTCCAGGTCCATGCAGCACCCCGGCTCTTACAGAGGAAACCATTTTCTCCCACCCGGTACTTCCATATCTTTCAGAGCTACCTTTTCCATAAATATGTTTTGGTGCCTTTTCAAGCCCAGATCTCCCACAGCCCCCCCAAACACAGCCAAGGCCCCGACTGCTGCAGGGGGAACAAGATACTTCTGCTAAAAGTTTCTGCCGAGTGCTAGTGCACTTGCATTGTACAGCGAGTGCAAAAACATATTGTGCAGGGCCATAAATTCCTTCTGTTTACACAGCCTGGGGAGGGATGGCCCTAGGTGGACCTGAACTGCAGTTTCAAGAGGTGAACAAAAGAGCCAGGCCACAAAAGAGAGGACACACTTCAGTCTGTTGTTTCCAGCACTTCCACCGCACAAGTGACCAATTAGAAGTTAATTGACTTTATAATTTGTTTAGAAATATTTAGAGTTTGCTCACTTCTTTTGGAAAGCGAGGAGGAGCCTTGGATCAAGAATGTTCTCTTCGGGTTCCCAGCTGTTGTGCCTGGAACAGAGCAGAGGGACTAGCGGGGTGGCCAGCGCCGGTACCGGCAGAGCCCCGGGCGCTCTATCCAAGGACGATCGGGCCGTTTCCGCGGCGCGGCCCGGGGGGAGAGGAGCCGGGCCGGGCCCTGCGCTCCCCGCGGCAGCGCTGGGGAAGGAGGCGGCGAT